TATATGTACAAACACATACAGCTAATGTTTTGGGAGGCTGAACAAAGAATTAAGGCCTCAAGATCATGCTTTGGATAAAGAATATTTTAAGCTTTGTATAACCACTGAAACTTTTGAATTTTGCCTTGCTTATGAGTATAAACTTCTTTATGCCCATGAGAATGTTGAAATATGCCCTCATCTCCGACTGTAGAAAGAGGATCCTCTTCTTATTCCCCTCACACTTTTCTTTGGCAGCCCAGGCCCTCCCTTGTGCTTCCTGACCACAATACCTTTTCCCAGGGAATGGATTCCCCAGCAACACTCAGAGGCTGAGAGTAGCACACAGTTGGTTCACAGGGAGTGATCTTCAAAGTTACGATGGTACATAGTAGTGCCAGACCTAGCAAATAAACATACGGGATAGCTATGCAATATCTGGGACATACTTATATAAAAAATTATGAATTGTTTACCTAGAATTCAGATTTAACTGAGAGTATTGTCTTGCATCTGTGTCCCTACCTGTAAGGAAATGAAAAAGGCAGGGTGGAGGGAGAAAATTATCTTCTCTATGTCAGCAACTGAGGCCTCAGCTGATCCTAGGGGTGCCTTGAAGCTGCTATGGCCCTTCATGTTGATTAAAAATCGTGGCAAGGGGTCAGGCCATTGTATTTCTGAATCAGCTAGTTATTGGCCTCAGGGTACCCTGGGAATGAATGTAACCTTGGCAGTTGCCTAAGGGTAAGAGGCACAGCCTTGAGCAGCTGCACATTCAGCAGCTGAGTTATGAGCACTGAAGAGGGAATCTGGACCAAGCATCAAGGTATCTTAGGTTTAAATGCTAACTTCTTAGAAGCCATTCATTTCCTATTAATAACTGTATCTTATTAGTTAAGGCAGCTAAATATATTCTGAATGCTTTAAGTGCTACATTAAAACTAAAAAGGACTGTTCAAAAGTAAGGAGGCAGTACTTATTATAGTAGTCCAGCTCCGCCCCCGTGGGATATATAGAGCGTATTTTTTTAATTGTTCATCTTCTCATCTAGACTACAAGCTTCTTGAGGGAAGAAACCAGGTCTTATTTATCTCGGCACCCATCACTTGGGGCATATTTGGCAGATAGTAGGTACTCAAGCAATGTCTATGGAAAACAGACAGGGAATAACTAAGCAAACCATCCAAATGGAAACTAACAACAGTTAGACCTACCCTCCGCGAGGGTGGAGGGAAAGTGATATTACGCCTCAAAATCAACGTGCGACATCATTTTTATTTTTCCTCTTATTTTCTTAAGCAAAGCAAAACTGGTTCTATACTCCCTGGCCTTTGAGTCTCTGTTTTAGGTAGTTAATAAATCTTGACCAATCTCTGAATCATTCGGTTCACTAGATGTTCACTCAGTCACTGAGTGCATTATTGTTTGGATGCATGAGTCATGACATGTTTTAAAGAGCTAAGGAGACATAGATCCTTTCCCACTTGGGTCCCTTTAGGAACCTTTGGAACCTTCTGGAAACTTTGAGGGTCTTCTTCCTAAGGGGAAGAAGACATTCTACACTCTGGTGAGAAGAACAAGAGGCTTCTATTTCTCTCTTAACCTGAAACCTCGCCTCTTATGAATGTTTCCTTCTATTAACCCTTGAGTGAATCACACTGATGCTTAATGATAGTCCTCTGATGGACATGCTTTCTCTCTTAAAATGAGTGTTAACATGAAGTAGTCTCCAGATTCCCTAAAGCCAGACTAGTGATCCCAAATTTTAACCACATTGGATCTTGCCTGCACATCCTGCCTCTGGCTGCACACCCACCTTTACGCCCACGGCATGAAGCTGTGACCACAGAGGCAGAAACTTGCAGGGTGGTCTTCTGAGCACACCCTAGGGGAAAGAGACATGAAATATTTATTGACTGCAGGCCAATGTTACAGGAACGCTGGCTGAAACCACTGCAAGGGTGCCTCTATAACAACCAAAGTAGACACAGCAACATTTGCCAACCCCCTTAAATGTCCTGGGGGAGGTTTGTTTGCACTAATCCTAGCAGTCCAAAAAGCAGCAGCTGTTCTCAAAGGAAGTCTGATATATATAATCCTTTATTTAAGACCAACAGTGGGAGGTGGTGTTTAATAAAAAAGGTGCTAAATTGTTAACAATGTTCTTGCTTCCAGCAAACAGGTAGAAAAAGAACTGAAATGTTAAGCAATACTCAGGACCATATTTAATAATACATCTTGATTTTTTAATTCATGCAAACGTTTCTGTGCTATAGACATCTTTGTCTTGGGAAATAAATTTGGGAAGCACAGGTCAGTTTTTTTCCAATTTCTGAGCAATCCTGAAATCAGATCGTATTGCTTTTCCAATCCCAGCTGTAAGGTAAATGTTTGTTATAGCAGATAGAATTAGAAAAGTCTACACACAATTTTCTTACATTCTAGTGGATCCCTAATTATCTTAAAATAAGCATAGAAATATCTTGCATCTTTGATAAGATCCTGTAGGTTAATAATCAGTTTTAAAATGCTATAAATTCCCAAAAGGAGCATCAAAGAAACTTGTGAGTTACTTCTAAAACATGTAATGTAAACTATAGCTTAAGCTTTTGGGTCTATCTTGGTAAACAGTGACCCAACAAACTAAATTTTTTTGGCAAGAATAAGTGTCATTTTTATCCTACCAAGAACTGAATATCACATTCTAAAGCTGTGGTTCACTTCCCTAATATTATCAGCAAGAAGGTAAATTTCCCTCAAGCCAATATGTTTAATTCTATTGCCAGAACCCCAGCATAATGCCAGGTATAAGGGGTTAAATGAACACTGAATGCTTTTATTAGAAACTTATTAGTTGTTTCTCCCATTCTGTGGGTTGCCTGTTCACTCCGATGGTAGTTTCTTTTGCTGTGCAGAAGCTTTTTAGTTTAATTAGATCCAATTTGTCAATTTTGGCTTTTGTTGCCATTGCTTTTGGTGTTTTAGATATGAAGTCCTTGCCCATGCCTGTGTCCTGAATGGTGTTGCCTAGGTTTTCTTCTAGGGTTTTTATGGTTTTAGGTCTGACAATTAAGTCTGTAATCCATCTTGAATTAATTTTTGTATAAGGTGTAAGGAAGGGATCTACTTTCAGCTTTCTGCATATGGCTAGCCAGTTTTCCCAGCACCATTTATTAAATAGGGAATCTTTTTTTCCCTATTTCTTGTTTTTGTAAGGTTTGTCAAAGATCAGGTGGTTGTAGATTTGTGGTATTATTTCTGAGGGCCCTGTTCTGTTCCATTGGTCTATATCTCTGTTTTGGTATCAGTACCATGCTTTTTGCAATCTAACCATCTGCCAAAGGGCTAATATCCAGAATCTACAAAGAACTTAAACAAATTCACAAGAAAAAATCAAACAACCCCATACAAAAGTGGGCAAAGGATATTAACAGATACTTCTCAAAAGAAGACATTTACACATTTACACAGCCAACAGAAACATGAAAAAATGCTCATCATCACTGGTCATCAGAGAAATGCAAATCAAAACCACAATGAGATACCATCTCACACCAGTTAGAATGGCGACCATTAACAAGTCAGGAAACAACAGGTGCTGGAAAGGATGTGGAGAAATAGGAACACTTTTACACTGTTGGTGGGAATGTAAACTAGTTCAACCATTGTGGAAGACAGTGTGGCAATTCCTCAAGGATCTAGAACTAGAAATACCATTTGACCCAGCCATCCCATTAATGGGTATATATCCAAAGGATTATAAATCATGCTGCTAAAAAGACACATGCACATGTATGTTTATTGCGGCACTATTCACAATAGCAAAGACTCAGAACCAACCCAAATGTCCACCAATGATAGACTGGATTAAGAAAAAGTGGCACATACACACCATGGAATACTGTGCAGCCATAAAAAATGATGAGTTTATGTCCTTTTTCGGGACATGGATGAAGCTGGAAACCACCATCTGAGCAAACTACTGCAAGGACAGAAAATCAAACACTGCATGTTCTCACTCATAGGTGGGAATCGAACAATGAGAACACTTGGACACAAGGTGGGGAACACCACACACCAGGGCCTATCGTGAGGTAGGGGGAGGGGGGAGGGATAGCATTAGGAGATATACCTAATGTAAATGATGAGTTAATGAGTGCAGCAGCACACCAACATGACACATATATACATATGTAACAAACCTGCACATTGTGCACATGTACCCTAGAACTTAAAGTATATATATATAAAAAAAAAAGAAATCATGTGTAAACTGTAAAAAAAAAAAAAAAAAAAAAAAAGAAAGAAAGAAGGAGAAGAAAGAGAGAAAATGCACAGTAAGAACAAACTTTAGGACAGAGTCTTCTAATACCATGGGCAGGTACTGCCTATTTTGATTGGTCATCAAAAGCTCAGTTATTCCTTATTTTCCTCAATTGTAAAGTAGGAATATAGTATAGTATCTGCATGATGGAAGGTTATGAGGATCAAATAAATTAATACCAAACAAAAAGAAAAGAAACTTATTAGTGGTTTCTGCCATAAATTATTAGCAATCAAGAAATCATTATTCTTTTTGTTTGCTTGGTTCCTTTGGACCTTGGAGTTTTGCTAGACTGAGTTGATTTTGTATCATTAAACATTAAACTCCCTTGACTAGTAGCAAAATCTTGTGATTTCTGCTCTGCACCAGTGAGGTGGGATGCGTGTGCATTTTTTTCATTTGTTCGCTTGCTCACTAAATGGTAAAGGCTGAGAATCTTACGCAACATGATATCTAAGGTGAAAACAAACTCTCTGTCAGAGCTGATCTGTTGTTTTACACAGTGATACAACTAATGTGGCAACATAAATAAATGGGCATGACTTTTCCTCCTAATCATAACTTACAGGAACTCCAGATCTCAGGTAAAATTTATGGTAATTATTGCCATAATTGTTATTCTTTCATTACTTAAACAGAAAACATATTTTTTCTCTCCTTTGAAATTCATCTTTTATTCAAAAAGAAAAAACAAGAATTGACTGAGAACACATGCTTTTACACTCTTTTCTGTTTCCAAAATTGAAACTCATTCTCTCACATGCTCCATTAAGATGGTGACTGTTAGAGAAGTCTTTCTATATTCTCCTTGTACAATTAATATTCTAGTATATAGGTATGCTTAATCTCAGACATTCTGTATTAAGGCGAATGTAGGAAAACTAGCTAACTTTAAAAAGTGTAAATATGTAACCGGTGTCAGAATATAGAAACGAGTTGTAGAATGCATACATCCTACAACGACAACCCTATCATAAAATGGAGTACTGTCGGGGAAGCTCAGCCATAATTGCACTCCGGAGAGTAAAAGACATTGTGTTGCCTCCTCAGCAGAAATTCACCTCCCTGTATGAAAATCTGATAAATTGTCCAGTTTCCCGCAGAGGGAACGACAGAGAATTTAATGAGAAACACATTAGAGCCGGACCTGTCACTGTGTGATTATGCATTCACTAATCTCTCTGTAGGGTACAGAAAAATGTCAGTCTTCTCTGAGAGAGTTTATCTAGGGAAAGGGACAAACACATCTAGAAATAAATTACCAAAAAGAAATGCCTTTATTCTCCCACTGATACCTACTGGCATCCTACCAGACTGCTTGTTTGGCCTACAAATAGCAAAAGCATTGGGATTTGCATAGTAACCTATTTTTATGATTGCCAGTGAAATTGAAGTGTCATGTGATGACATGTATTGATAATTAAATGCAGCTGCAAGTGCCTGATATATTTAGTTTGGTCTAAAAATGTATGTTTGAGAACTTCAAGTACAGTAGGAGGGGCAGCGGATGTTCTTACTCTTATTGTAGGATATATTTCATATTTAACATGAAATTATCTTACCTGTCATCATCATTTTTGTCCGATAAAACTTATTCAGCACCTGTATACATCCTAAAAGCATTTCTGAGCAACTAACATATGCCAGGAATCTATAATTATACAGTAAGTTTGGTGAATAACTAGAATATCCAATAGCCTCTACAAAGTGTTTAAGCCAGAGGAACACATCATTCAAATTTGCTTTTCACTAAGAGCATTTATTAAGTTAATTTTATTAGCCTGATTTTAGCGTGGGAAATATGCAATGAGGGCAGGTATATTTTCTCCAGAAGTTCAAAATATGATAGTACGTTGATGTAAATATCCACAAAGAACTACTAAACAAGCACTGAGCAAGTCCAAGAATGTCTTACTAGCTCAGTGCCTTGTGCAAGGAGGGATCTCAGAAATCACTTCCTGAATTTTGGGGAAAGTAAGGGAATGGTGACAGAAAATTGTGTCCTGAGCTATCCTTATTTGGAGGCGTGATGTCAAGAAGAAATTACTCATATTTCTTCAAGAATTTCTAGAAGGCTTCATGGTGAATGGAGAACTTTAATCACAAAAGAAGTGTTTTTAAAATTGCATGTTTAATTAAGTAGAGCTATTTATTATCAACAATGATACCAGTCTGACCATTCCCCCTCCAGGTTAATTCAAATTTTTTACATCCTTCATAAAATGCTAAGCCCAAAATCGATCCCAGCTTTGTAAATGTCTTGATCAAATCTCACACACTTACTCAGTGGCATTTTTTTTTAAACTAAGAAAAGATATTTTTAAAAGATCTATATTTATAACTTCATTGACAGCTTTTTTTTCTCAAGTGGTTGTCCAGTTTCATCTGGACATAAATTTAAATTTGGTTTCATTACAGAAGGGAACATGTCCCTTTTTATGACCTCATAGAACTTTCAACATCGTAAGACTCCTACAATCACTGGTAATAAAGCTAGAAATCATGTTAGAGATCAAATGGTGAAGGACAAAACAGGTGCTAGAGAGTGATGTGATTCATGTCTGAATAAAGACAAAAACCATTTAATAAACTAAAACATAAATGAGAGTTCTTGGTTTATAATCTAATGTTATTTTTATTGCATAAAATTGCTGAAATACTGATTGATGATGTGTAGCCCAGTTGACTGATTCAATGTCATACAAATTCTTAGATGTAAAGATGCCTCACCTGACTCTACTCAGGTTAGGTCCGCATCTTGTTCCCTTCTCTCCCCTGAGACTTTCAAATAGGGCAGAGTAAGATGGAGGCAGTAACTCTTTGTCTCTGCTAATACCTAATCATATAATCTTATTTCAAAAGTTGGCTTGGCCAGTACATTTGGATTGACTACAAAAAAAAAAAAAAAAAAAGGCCTTGTCCATTTATCCAGAGGTTTCCTCCAAAATTTTTAAAAATTTTGTCACCTTAAAATGGATTTTAAATTATCAGAATTTAGAGGTAGCAATGAAATAAATCTTAAAGGAGGTGTAGAACTCCTTTAAGAAGTTATTGTTTGCTTTCCATTGCGGCAATGGAATCATATATTTTTAATGAGCCCAGAAACAATTCTCTGCAACTGTAAAAATGATGCCAGAATGCAAGTTTTTGGTTAGTGCCATAGTTTCATTTTGTTATTGAAAATGGAATAAGTCATGATTTATTCCCTCCCTTCTTTGGAAGGGTAAAAAATGTTAATGGTAAGAAAATCAGTACATTTTCTATTTCAAGATCGATTTCATAAGAAATTTACCTACCAGATTTATGTTTTATTTTTAGCTACAAGAAATAAAAGCTTTAAAATAACAGAAATAAAAGTCTCAGTTTTATATATGTAATTTTTTAAATATATGTACAAACTTGGAAATGACTTCTGTCAGTATCTCTTATCGTTGTCACATGATTTTGAACTTCTGGACCAGTGTAATTCAGCTGAAAGAATCAAGAAAATTAATATACACCTATACTCTCAAATTAGTCTCTTTAGAAGGAAGTGAAGAGAGACTCTGTGACAGAAAAATCACAGTGTTACTACATCTTATTGAAAACCTCTATTTATCTCTATAGATGTTCCATATAAATAAATCTTAAATATTTAAACATAATATAATTGATAAAACTGACATGTTAGTCTGGAGATGTTTGTTACCTATAAGCAAAATAGACTCCTAAATAATAATACAAAATTTATTGTTGTGTTTAGATGAACATAACCATAATCAAATAATTTTGGTATTTGGTAGTTCTGGTTACTTAAAATAATAAAAAGCTATGTAAGCAAGAACCCTCTTAGAAAGTTGTAAGCATTAGTATGGACTTATATTTATACACGTTTTCTGTACATAGGTTCATTTAATTAATTGATGTAGGTAACTTTATGCTTCACTAAGCATTCATTAAGCATCGTTGTACCTGTAATCCCAGCAATTTGGGGAGGCTGAGGCAGATGGATTATGAGGTCAGGACTATCAAGAGGCCAGGATTGAGACCATCCTGGTCAACATGGTGAAACCTCGTCTCTATTAAAAATACAAAATGAACTGGCGTGGTGGCACGCACCTGTAATCCTAGCTACTTGGGAGGGTGAGGCAGGAGAATCGCTTGAACCAGGGAGTCGGAGGTTGCAGTGAGCCGAGATCATGCCACTGCACTCCAGCCTGGTGACAGAGCAAGACTGTCTCAAAAAAAAAAAAAAAAAAAAAAAAAAAATCATTGTGTATGGCCAGTGAAGAGAAGTGTAATTGTGTAATTTAATATTTTCTTTTTAATTTTAGCATGGCTTTAAATTTTGAAATTAATGATTCCTGACTTGCATAATATATATTTGGTAGTTATCCTACTTTCATGTTCATATGCTAATCAAATCAAACCAGTAGTATAAGATAAACTATTACATTTGAGTTTAATGTAGCCTACAAGCAACATTTAGCCTATACAACTTATTCATTAACGTGGCCTGTTGTTGACCATCATTATTATCTTTCCGTTCACTAATTAGGAACATATGTTTACTAGTTTCTGTTTGGCAACTGAAATTTTTCATGTGCCCTAAGAACTTGGTATACGGCGTACAATACTTAACAATAGATTAGAATAAACTAGAGTAATATTTTTAGCTTTATACTGTGTAAACACGGTGATATGCCATTTGAATAAGAGTTGGGCATATCTTTGTTTAAAACATTTCATTGTTCCATTTAACCCAGAAATACTTTAAAGTATAAATTAGTTCAATTTTTTGTAGCATTTCATTTTATGCTATTTAAAAATTATGCATTAAGTGGAAAGAATGTTTAATCAGATAATTGGCTTTATAATAAAACACTATACTAATGTATACGTATAATGTTTTAGTTGATGGATGGGTTTTTAGATATATTATTTGTTATATATATGTGTGTACTGTTTTCCCATCAAATTAAAGCAATCTGCTTATATGGTAGCTAGCTCAATTTTGACAAGTTTCCATTTTGTATTTGCACCAAAATAAATCATAGTTTGCTTTAAGGAAAAAATAGTTTATAAGTATACTTTAAACATGTTTAAATGCAAACCATGAAATTTCTATGAACTCTTCTCTTACTACAAAAGTCATACTTTTAACCATTAGCTGTATCTTTTTTGCCACATTTCGGAATGTAATGTAAACACTTGTATTTTGCAGAACTTTATTAAAATGATTACCTGATAATAGATTTTGTAAATTTTCTTAAGTTAAATTTTCTGTGATTTATGTCCAGCAGTCAGTATTTAAGGTGAAATTAAATGCCACTTTCAACACATTGAATTCCCAGATTAATTTACCTCTATCAAAAGGCCAGTTTTTTAAATAAACATCAGAAGTTTCCTTATAAAAGTGCACATCTATTCACTGAAATGGTTACCTTTAGGAAGGGAAGCTCAAAGAGTGTTTGCCTGAGTAATAAGAATATTTCTGACAACGGGACTTGGCATGGATAACTGTTAAACCATTCATCTCCTTCAGTTCTCTATCGTTTCTAAGTGTTTGCTCCCTGTGGATCTACACAGTGGGACAGCAGAGAATCATAGAAGTATTTTTAAGCACTCCAATCTCATAGTGTATGCTTCACAGACAGAATAAAATGTATTCCTCCAGCTGTTCAAGAATGAGGGCAAGGGGGGGATAAAAAGAGAAATGAAGGCAAGACAGACTTAGATCTCAATCAATGTTGTAAACTTAGTGTACGTTTACCTCTAAATCCTTTTCCTTACCTCCCACATTTAATTCTATTAAAAAGTCCTTATATTTTTTCCTTGCTTATAACCCATCATATCCCAGCCACCAAAGGTGTAGGATTCCACATAAAGTCATGAATTTACATACACATACATACAAATCCAAGCTGAGCCTTTGGTGCTGTGAAAGAGAATTTAAACATTTTAAAATGTAAAACTAAACATATTATCTGAGGTAAGGCTAGAAATAAAAACAATAAAAAAGTGCAGTGAATAGAAAAAATTTAAAAGATTTCCACATTACAAATGAGATATAAACACATTTATAATTAATAAACAGCATAAAATGATTGCTTATGTCATATTAATTAAAATAATAAAAGTAAGAAAATATGCTCAATGCAGAGGTACTTTTAAGAAAACAAACAAAAAAACAAAAGTTAACAAAATATTTTATCCGCATCAAAATATTCTTTGGAAACCAAAAATAAAAATGTACCATGTATGTTCTTTCAGGTTGATCTGTAAAAGTCAGAAAAATACATAGTCCATGTTATTTAACTTTCCGAAAATACAAAGTTCTAAATATCCCTCAAGCATAAAGCAAAAGGCTTTATGTCTTGCTGACCTGAAGCAGTGTGCTCCCTGTATTAGTACAAAGAATTCCAGTTTCCTTCCTATCAAAAAACATTTTGTTTCAGTCACACTGAAACAAATGACGTGACTTCAATACAGGGTAGTATAGCTGAAGCTGTGTCCAAAAATTTTCCTTCAGAACTCTGAAGACACCTATAGAAACTCCTGAGGGGAAAGAATCGTTCTCACAAGGCCAAGAGGAATATTATCCAAAGCGAAACTTGAGTCTGTATTTCACTGTGTTGGTATTTTTCCGAGGTGCAGAAAGGGGAACCTTTGGCTTGATAGGGCTAGGTGGCTTTTTCTTTTCAGGAACAGTAACCGTGAAAGAAAGTTCTGGCTGCTCCGACTGCTTGAATCTTGGGAGAAAATGGGTAGAGATGTGCTGGGGTTTAACCCGGGGGCTGCACCCTCGTTTGGCTTTTCCTCTTTTATTCAGGGCCACATACCACTCCCGCCCTGTTTTTTCAGTTCTATGTATTGCTGAGGCATAGGTATTATAGCTGTTTTCTTGAAAACGCTCCCTGAACTTGCAGTCATCTGTGAACTTGGCCTAGGGAGGAGAAAAAAAGAGGAAATGTAAGTTGTGACAATCTTTTCAGCATGTAATAAAATATAAGTTCTTGTAGGAAAAAAATAATAATAATTTTGGCGATCTCTGTTCCTCCTACTCCATTCCTTTTTATAAAGACATGTTTGCTTATTTTAAAGTTGCTTTAAAATTACTATTTTTCTTTTTATGTTTCTACTTCATTTATTTTGTAACACATTTCTGTTCACTACCTATTTGGTGACATAGTATCGATGAATATAAAAGTAACCAGGACTCTTGATACATTTAAACCTTGTTACTATTGTTTAAATACTTTGAAATGTATAGTTACAAATATTTTAACATACTATTTTTCCTCCTAACTCACCAAGAAAATAAATAGAACTATATTACTAAGAAACAATTGCCTGGTAAAATATAAATTCCTGTTCATAGAAATGGGGTCAAAATTATTCCTTTGAAACAAGCATGCATTTTTTCAATGTTATCAGTGTGATTGAGGCTGCTGAGAGAGAAATAGCATATGGCCCCCATTAATATTGCAGGTGTTAGAGTTCTTTAGAAAAAAAAAATGTATCTTTACTCAGGCATTACAGGAAAGTATATTTGACTCCAAGAAGAAAAAAGTCACTGGAATTACTATGCTTTGGCCAGATCTTACACACACACAGAATATCTGCCCTTGAAATACTTACAGAATAGTGGAAAAACAGACAAGTAGACATCCGTCATGGTGCAGCTTGATAAATGGAATTATGACAGTGGTATGCAGAGGGTACAATGACAGCATAGAGGAAGGGCATCTAAGAGGGTGGAGGTGGCCAAGAAGAGGACAGAAAAGTCTTCCTATAAAAGGTGACATTTGAGCTGAGTCTTCAAGTACAACTAGGAATGTACTCTAACTAACATTAGAGAGGCAGACAAAATAAGAAAGGATTTTCAGGGAGAGGGAACAGGGTGTTGAAAGGTCAACATGACACTTTCAAATACCTGTAAGTAGTTCAGCGTGACCTCTACCTAGGATGCACCTGGGAAATAAGGAGATGAGCCTGACAATGTAGGTCAGCACCAGCTCTGAAAGGACTTACTTTGCCAAGTTGTGAAATTTGAAGGAATATGCGGGAGAATGGGGGAAGAGTGTGAACTTGGAATCAGACATACAATCAAAAACCAGTGATGCCAATTAAGCTCTTAGCCTTAGCCTCCTTATCCATAACACTTACAACAACAGGGCTTTTATGAGAATCTAAAGGAGGATTCTGTAACTTTCATCAAACTTGAAAGAGTCCATAACGCCCAAAGAATTAAGAATTCCTGTACTAGGTCAGACTACCAGGTTTCATAATTTCAAGGAGTACTATTTACACAGAATTCCTGTGCTTGAGAATACCAAATATTTTGTCCACTATGTATAAAAACACTAAAAGCTACATACTTCTATATCAAATCAAGAAGTTTTATATGAGAATAAAATGGCCTTTTTTCCTTGCTTTTTCTAATAATGCCAAACTTTTCTTTGGAATACTGATCATAACACTGAAATCTAAAAATCTGAATATTGCAAGGCAATCTACATAGATCCACTGTTGAAATCCACATGGAATTTGTGAGTAGTGCAAGATACTGACAGTATTAGAAGCCAACCGATATCAGAGCATTTACAAGAGCACATTAACTTTATGTACGATAGTTTACTGGAGTTACTTATATTTAAGTGTAGTTCAATCAACAAAGTTCTATTTGGGGGTTATGAAGCCATATATATAGATCTTTCACAAGTTTACTGGCGAATCTTTGGATATGATCTCAAGCAGACTGAAGGCAGGTGTTTTTTGTTTTGTTTTGTTTTGTTTTTTGTTGTTGTCGTTGTTGTTGTTTGAGACAGGTTCTTGCTCTATTGGTCAGGCAGGAGTGCAGTGGCATGATCTCGGCTCACTGCAACCTCCATCTCCCGGGCTCATGCAATTCTCCTGCCTCAGCCTCCCGAGTAGCTGGGATTACTGGTGTGTGCCACCATGCCCAGCTAATTTTTGTATTTTTAGTAGAGGTGGGGGTTTCACCATATTGGCCAGACTGGTCTCGAATTCCTGACCCCAGGTAATCTGCCCGCCTCAGCCTCCCAAAGTGCTGGGATTACAGGTGTGAGCCACCGCACCCAGCCGAAGGCAGGTATTTTAAAGAATCACCGCCTATGTATGGCATCCCTCTCACCCTGTCTTACGATACACCTTGCCAGCCTACATTTAGGCCAGGACTGCTATGCTGACACCACTTTCAAAGATCACACATTGACTATTCCTATTTTTTATTAGAAAGACTTGCTTACAAATTCATTGTAGCTTTGTCTACAGCTGCTTAGCTCTTAAAGTGGCTTTCCCATTTAATTAGATAATCCCAATATTTTATTTCAAAATAAAAGCTATAGACATCTAGAATGTTTCTGGCTCTATAAACGGATAATAAGAAGTTTAGAAAGGTGTGAAACATTTCATTAAAAAGAGTATCTAGTATATTTACCTTGTCTCAGGTTTTTTTTTCTTACAATGCAGTCGAATGACATTTTTGAAAATGTGTAATACATTATGCCTTGACCTGACTTCTACCTCTGTTTCACGAAAATAGCAGTGATTGCTTTACTCAATTTTGACAGAGTTAGGTTGTTAAAATGTACCTCATTTTTTAATATTTTCCCCCAACAGTGCCCAAGAAAATAAAGAACGAACATGTCCATTTTTAATTGATGTAGATGACAGGCACACATACGCATGCACAGGTGCATGTGCAGACACACACCACAGCATTTCTTTTTTTAAAAAAAACAGAAATCTATATCATTTCCATTTTAGGGTCTTTCATATGAGTGAAACCCACCTGCCCCACCCGCTACAATTGTTTCATCTAAAATCTTTCTCTTTTCCTCCTCTTTTCCTCCAGATTCATATTCTAAAGTTCTTTCTTAAGAGGAGCCCCTTTAAGGAGATGGCTATTCGGAATTCAGATTTTTCAGAGGTCACCTAACTGTTACCCAGGGTAGAAATGTGCAGAGTCCTAAGGACCCACACACTACACATAGCCCCTCAGCTGTCCAAATCCTACATTCTACATTAATACAGGAGTAAACGCAGTTAGACTGTTTTGACTTTCTTAATTGACTTTTAATTTAATGTTTTGTCTGCAAAATTATTCCAGCTGTGATGGAACACAGAATCATTTGAAGCAAACATTTCAGTGAATTTATTCATCTTGAAGGATTGACTCTTCCTATTAGTCTTCCCAGTCTGGCTCAGACAAGATGGTGACACTAAGCAGTACATCTCTGTATATAGTGTTGTGCACAGACCATCCTTATAGCAAAGAGTCATAGGTCTTAGCTAGAGGTACTAAAATACATACATTTGCCATTAGAAAATTTTGGACAATAAATTTTCCAGGCTCATTTTTATTTTTTAAATCTTTTTTAAAAATTATAAGAAGTCCTCTAATAAAATATACACTTTTAAAATAATAGAACTCCATTATTTTTCTAGAAAAAAAACTGAAACTAACAAACACACTTTTTCTATAGTTAAGAGTATGATGTAGAGGCATGAATCAAATTTCAGATAAGTTGCTGAAATCAAGACTCCTTCATCTAATTGCCTTACCACCATCAGCCACTACAGTGAAAGCAATTGTTTAAATATTTGTTTAAAAATGTTTCATATTCATTTTTCACTAATTTATTCCACAGATATCACATGCTAGGCACTGTGCTAGGAGCCACTTTTACAGTGGAAAACAATATTGACATAGTCCTGCCCATGTTTTCATTGACTTAAATTACATTAAAATCTCTTTAATTTCTCCTTGATCTGGCAAGAATAAAAACAGGTTACATTCAATAAACCATAATTGCAAAATTAAAATAAATGTTTAAAATCATCATTTTTTGTAGTTTAGTATATACTCCTAATTGACAAAAAAAAAAAAAAAAACTTTAAACAAATTGAACTATTTTTTTCTTGAATATCTAAATTATTACAAGGAGAGGAAACACACTGCTATTAAGAGAAATAAGAACTTTTTGCTGGGCATGGTGGCTCACACCTGTAATCTAGCACTTTGGGAGGCTGAGGCAGGCGGATCATTTGAGGTCCGGAGTTCGAGACCAGCCTGACCAACATGGTAAAACCCTGTCTGTACTAAACATACAAAGTCAGCCAGGTGTGGTGGTGGGCACCTGTAGTCCCAGCTACTGGGGAGGCTGAGGCAGGAGAATCGCTTGGACCTGGGAGGCAGAGGTTGCAGTGAGCTGGGATCCTACCATTGCACTCCAGCCTAGGCAATAAGAGCAAAACTCCGTCTCAAAAAAAAAAAAAAAAAAAAAAGAACATTTTCACTAGAAGTAAACTGTCGTGGCTCTACTCATCCCTTCTCACAGTGAAGGATCCATTTTAAAGAACAGATATTTTTTAAAAAGTCAAATTGAATTCAAAGAAAGCACAACTCCAATTAACTACAATATTCCAGAAATGACTAATTCTGCCAAGCTGAAATTAAACAGGTCAATTAAACCAAATAAATTATTTCCCAAATGATATTGTTTTTAAAAAAAGCTCTCTAAAATCTCTTCTTGTAGTTTTTTCCTTAGTAAATATCACGATCTATGATGATTGAGTACCTTGTATAGTATGAATTAAAGCTGTGCAATTACCGACTCTCGTGTGCAACTATAGAAGTAAATATGTAGTATATGAGATATGGAAATAGGAGTGAATTTGAACTGACACCAGTATAAACCTTGGAATTTGTGTGTATTTAATCAATTTTATTTATTTATTTCAGCTTGTTTTCTTTGATTTGCCTCTTTCTCCTGAAAAACCTTATAAAGTTAAGGGGAAAAAAAGCCAAATCTAAATAATTAAAATGTTGTTCTAGACTAATATTATTAAATAACAAAAAGGTTATCATAGACTGTAACAAAAACAACTATTGACCAAATTTTGCTACAAACTAAGTTT